ATGATGAGCAAAGAATATAAGTAGGCTCGTAAGACAAAGAAAATGTTAAGTTCTCTATCACCATTTTCTATCCCGACATTCGATCACTCTCCTCTAACTTGCTCGTCGGAGGGTTCGTTGGGGGACTCCCTATTCCCCGCTGAACTCTTGTGCAGGTTTTGCTGTGAGCTCAACCTCTGGGTGATGGTTTGGGAAGCGTGGATCGATTCGACCCGTTCCGTCTGGAGCCCGCAGATTCAATACCAAGGATCTTGAAAGATTAATCTAATATTTGATATTTTTATTATTATTTAAACATATGAAAATACTTCCGCATAGGATTTTATTCAAAAGAACTAATTTATTGGGTTTAGAGTTTTTAAAAATAATTTTTAAGTATTTTTGTTTTTCATATTTTGTTTATTTTAGTGAAATTTTTTTATATTGTGATCAATTTTTTATTTTTTTTATTTATAGATATATCTAATCCATCCACACTTAAAAAATAAATGTATAATTTACAAAATAATAATTCAATAAATACATATATATATATATATATATATATGAAAGATTAAACAATTCAAATTATACATCCTTTTTAAAAATATATACTATATGTACTTTTAATTATGTCTGATTTTAATTGTGATTCATAAAATTTTTAATTATGATTTTTTTTAGTACGATTCAAAAAATTAAAATTATGCTATTTCTTTTCCCCTTACAAAGTATGTATAGTGCACAGTATTTTCCATAAATGTATTGAATTTTAGTAATTTTTTTTAAAAAATATTTGTTGGGTACGAGGGATTTGAGAGTGAGAAAGAGAGAGTGTGTGTGTGTGTGGGTGAGCACGGATAGTTCTTTTGAAGATTTGTACTGGGAGGGAGGGAGGGAGAGTTGATGTTGTGAATTGAAGCTCTGTTCCAATGGAGTCAACTTTATATGCAGCAACAAGAACAACGCTCTTCATTTGTCGTCTACACCGTCCGATTCATTGCCAATCCGTGTCTCTTCAACTCACACGACCTTTCAACGGCGAGTCTCAGAGATCAAAAGCATTGAGTTCGATCTCTCATTCCCCAAATTCACTCCCGACTTTGTGTTCCGTTCGCTCTCGCTTGCACTGCGCTGCTTCTCCCTCTTCCACAGCCGGCGGCGGCGGCGCCGATGGTGGAGCTCTGTCGCCTGATGCGATAATTATTAATGTCGAAGTAATCGTTCTCTCTCTCTTCTTCTTCTTCTTTTTTGTTTCTGAAATGAAATGAAATGAAATGTAATTCTTAATGTGTTTGGTTATTGTAAATTTGTAACGAATTCTTCAATATCTAATCTCTATGTGTCTCTCTCATCTCAGGGTATGATGTGTGGAGGATGTGTAGCGAGCGTGAAGAGAATTTTGGAAAGCCAAGTCAGTAGGATATATATATATATATATATATTGTCATCCTTCTTGTTCTTTATATTTTCTAATTTCTCTATTTGGTTGCCTGCAAAATGTTCCCTATATTTATAAAAGGGGAAATTAGTGTTCAGTGTAAATTTAGAAAAAAAAAATGTACATGTTAATGGTAAATTTTACATCCTTTGGGGTTGAATTAGTTGAAGCTTCGCTGTGTTTGGTTGGGGGATTTGAAGAGGAATTTAGAAAGAGAAAGGAAAAGGGAAAAGTTGTGTGAAACTAGGTGAAATGTATGTATATTTTATTCATATTTTACCTACATTTTCTATTTTCCTTTCTAAATCTCTCCTCAGATCCTCAAACTAGTTTTTAAGCTTTTGAAACCAAATAGATGGTGCCTGCTTTCTTCAGTTTAATTTACTTGCCTTCCCATATCATATGAAATTTTTTTTTTTTTGATGTGATGACGGTGTTTCGACACCTATTTGAATTTCTTCTGTATTGACAAGTATATTAATCTATTCAGATATGGATAAACTCTTTGTAGTTAACTGTAGATTGCATCTTTTGAATATTTGGTTGTGATTTATGGAAGAACCTTTTTTCCCTTTTAGATAAAATCTGGAGGTCACTAGTGTATTATATTTTTTTGACAGCCACAAGTGTTGTCTGCCAGTGTCAATCTTGAAACAGAAACAGCAACTATATGGCCTGTTTCTGAGGCCAAGGTTATGCCGAACTGGCAAAGGCATGTAGGAGAGATCCTTGCGAATCATTTGACCAGTTGTGGATTTAAGTCTAATTTTCGAGGTGAGTATTTTCTTGGTGGATTTGCATGCACATATGAATGGATGCATATTGTGTTAAATTTATCTCATTTTGGGATTTACAATTTTGATGGATCTTGAATTCTTCTTTTCTCTGATTCATACAAGTACATTTATCTATGGATTGTCATAAATTATAGCTTAATCAGTACTGCAATGTAAGATCAAAGATCATGTCAAGCTTGAACCTGCATCTCTTGCCATAGAGGCATTAGGCAAGTGTCTTCCCTCTTATACACCATGCAATAATCGTTCCAAACGAGCTCTTCATTGATCTATGTCTAAACTTTTCATATTTACTAGATATTTAATATCTAATAATTTATAAACTTTAACCAAATCTCTACAATTAACAATTTGGAAAAATGTGATTTTGATCCACGATTCAATGTCAAAGCTTGAGTTTTCATATAACTTATGTGAAGTTTGGTGGGTAATTGCCAGGTCAGGGAGCTATTGAAGGAGACATTCCATTATAGAAAATCCAAAGGATTTCTTGCAAGTGCAACCAGTCCTTTGATGGTATGTCTTATAAAATTGGGTTTTCTATTTCAGAGACTTGTCCTTGCATCAATAGGTGAGAGTCTCTCTGACTACTAGTAGTGGATTTGTTGGAGTGAGGCATTTCTATATCCCGTTGAGCCCATTTATTTTTCGATAATTTCTGTTAGCATGATCTGAATTCAAGCAATTTGTGCCTTATCATTGGTCAATTGGGGATGTCCATTCTTTGGAAAATTTAATATGTCAGATCTCGCGTGTAATGACTGTATCAGCTGAACAATACTCGTGTTGTTTTTGTTTTTGTTTTTTTGGCTTTTCTCCCCCATGTTTTGACTTTCCCCAATTTAGTTTGTTCTCTTCTTTTGAAGATTTGTACTTGCCCTATTTCAGCAAAGCCATGTTGGTTATTGTGATGACTTGTATAACTGTATCTATATATCCAAATTTTGTGTTTTGATGTAATCCTCCAAGTTGGGCAAGGTTGTTATCTGCCTGTGTGCACTTCACATATGATTTTGCTTTTATTTGAAAAATAGTAGATGCCTTTAAGTTTATTATTTACAATTTTAGTTAATAATTTGATCTATTATTTTGGATTTCTGGTTTGTTGAAAGGTTTTTCTGGCTCAAGATTTTGCTGTACAAAGAAGTTACAGATTGGCAGTTATAAAGAAGTATCTGTTAACAGCATAGGAATCTGAGTGTATCTTGCAAGAGACGTGTTGAGCAGTCTTTAGACGTGTGTTGGAACATGGTATAACTACGTACTGCACTGGGCTGGGTGGAATTGCAAAAAAGGATTCATGTACACAATCAATCATGCTTGATTAGAATTCGTTTGATTTGGTATTCCCAGTCTGGTTTTGAATGCGAGGAAATCAGGAGGGAATCATGATTTTCAGTACTCAAAACAATAGATGTTAGATATGATGGAATTCATAAAATTAAAGATAGTTGTTTAAGTGAATAAGTATTTATGACATTACGAAATCAACAAATACCAATCATATTGAAGAGAAAATTTTATAAAGCTCTTATAGGATTAATGATACTTAATTGAATATAAGATGAAGATGATAAGATAAATGTGTGACAAGATCGAGGAAGATAGAATTATAAATAAATATATTTATAAAATGATAGGAGTGGCTGTAGAAAATTTAATGTATAAAGAGAAATAGAGAATTGTATTATTGATTGATCTAATGTTGATTTCTATTATAAAATGATAGGAGTGGCACTAATGTACAAAAAAAAATAAAAATAAATAAATAAATAAATAAATAAATTTGAAGATTAAAAGACGGAACGATATAAAAAAGTGAGGTAATCACAGTAAATGTTAATATTAGGGGTGTGAAAAAGCCTCAAACTAACATGGAACACGATTGTAAAAATTTAATATACATTTATTTAATTGACTGATTAAACATGACAAAAAAATAAAATAAATGACAGAAAAATAATTCATATAGGATGACTACATGAATTATGAGTAAAAAATTTGGAACTATAATAGTTACAATGTGAAGAATTGCATTAACATTAACATCAACATCAACATGGTCAGTAAATACAGAAATTGAATGTGCAAACCCTTAAAAACTGTATGAATCATTACATGGTAAGCAACCAAGTTGATAAACTACAAAACTTTCCAACCAATAAGATTAAGTATATATCTTCATTTGTAACCATTTTTTTGCTAAAAAATCATGTATTTAACCTGCATCAACCGACGGACATGCCAATCACCCATGACCTTCCTCGAACTCAACCACTTCTGTCAAATCTTCAGTGTCAAACTAAATGAAAATTTTCCTTATTTTGCTTGCAAATTCAAACTTCAAACTTCAAACCATGTAAGTCATGCCCACTTGTATCAGATGTGAATGAGGAACGCTCAAATTCGCAATCCCTCTCCGGCAATTCTTTCTCAAGAAAGCATAGAAGTAATTTATGACTAGCTTCTTAAGGAACCATGAATCCTTTCTTGCCCTAATGTCGCCGTGACCGACAAGGTAAACCACCCCTGATTCCTTGGCTGTTCGTATGAAAGACAGCTCTTTCTCAAAACTCTGCTCTGCGTCAGAACCCATTGGATCTGTGGGTGGCTCTGGCTTCACCTCCCCTGAAGTGCTTGCTTCTAAGATGGGTTTGTTTGTGTCGTCATAGTCAAACAGGAGGGGAACACCAAGTGAGTACACACTACCATTGGGAGCTATGAGAACTCTAGTAGTGTTCTCATCTTCAGAATTTGAATCATCATCTCCATCACTCTCTAGTGACCGTTCTTGGGCTTCCCTGCGAATGAATTTTTCAAGGCTTTCCATCAACAGCTGCTGAAATGTCTGGTGATTCTCTTTGCGAACGTCCTTGTAGCCATACCTGTTAATAGTAATTCAAGGTCAAGTGTCTGACTATAAATGTATACACATACACAAGCATATTTGTACTCGCACAGAGACTAATTTATGATGCACCCAGTTGGCATCATGTCCACGTAAATGAACTCCCATCAACAACAAAGTCATGAGAAAGACCAAAGAAGAAGACAAAAAAGAAAAGAAATAGATACATATATACATAAATAAGCATGCATGTGCATACACACGCTCATCAGTTAGATTTCAAGGCCATGCCCTAGTGTATCATGGGTTTAGTCCAGTAAAATTACATTACATAGTATATGAGGGACTGGGGGAAACCCTGGACTCCCTCGTGAGCCAAAAAATAAAAAATAAAGAGTGCATCATGGGTTTGGTGCTCGTAGGTCTAGGACAAACGGCATCTTGGAATTCACAATTCTAATGAAGACAAATTTTAAGACTCATAGAACATGATAATACTCACCTGGCAATGCATCGAAATATGTGGTAGCTTTTTGGGCAGACACGCCGGAATAGGAACCTCTCACCTTGAGGCACTACAGGAACAGGAATATATTTTATGGACACGAAAATAATCATCGAATGGACAGCTGGAAGAGTGGTCAGGAAATGTCCAAATATTGCTGGTACCCCCTTTACTAGCTCATTATAAAGCAAACCAATGCCGGGAGCTCTAATTGTTCCAAGATTACAACCCAATTCCCGCATCAAATCCATTGACAACTTTTGCTTGACTTCAGTTTCATACTTGAGCTTGCTTCCATAATTCCAGATGTACATTATAAGAAACATTACTATGGAAAAAACCAATATGATCCAACTTCCATCCACCACACTCCATAAGACTGAGGAGAAGAATGTCAATTCCATCCCCAAGAAAATAACGGCAAAACACAGCACAGTAAAGATGTTTATCTTCCATATAAGAAGCATAACAAGGGTTACTAAGATAGTAGTCATCATCATGACTCCAAGCTCAGCAATGGCTGTAAAACAAAATCAACATCAGGTAAGACAATAGCTTGCATAAATGTTCATGTGTTCATACAAAGAGGTGACACATATAGATAAAAATAGAAACTTATAATCAACTCCCAACGTAAAACATCGATGTCACATATGATGGTTTAACTGCTAGTTAAAAGAAAGGAAAAATGAACAATGAAACTAAAAAAGACTCGCCCCTTCACCAGCAAGTAGGATATTTCATCTAAGGAATCATCTTCGGACTTCAAGAATCGGCATCACGTGGATTCCATAAAATTAGTTTGTGTTGGCACTCCATTTTTTTATCTCCTAATGACTACACTCTGGACAATGTGTTCTAGATATCAATTGATGCAAGAAAAGTATAGAAGGATTACAAAACAACCCCTTAAAATTACATTAAGAAAGAGGAGTAAAAGCAAACAAAAGATGGAAAGAATTCCTTACAAGAGGGAAGAAGATTCCAAATCAGACAAAACATGCCCAAAGCATTTCTCCAGATCCCAAAGAATTTTCAATTCTTTTCAAATAAAAGTATAATTCTCCTTGGAGAATATAGGAGGATAAAATGGAGCTATTAAATTGTTGTGAAGAGAAAAATGAACACAAGGCCACAATAAAACATGTATATGAAGCTCAAAAGAGAGAGAGAGAGTAATATTACCATATGCATTTCCCATCTCATTAATGCTAGAGATAGAGCAGACGAACACTATGGCGCATACCAGCAGAAACCAGTTTATCACGGGTATATAAATATGACCCATGAATTTCCGAGATGTATGAATGATTTTCAGTCGAGGAAAACAACCAAGTGCTGTTGATTGTTTAATACAAGAAAAAGTTGCCGTTGTCATTGCCCGACTAGCAATTAATGCGGCAACATTAGCAATGAGGAAGACTGGCCAGAAAGCAACACCTGCACACAGAATGTGTAATGCCAGCTATTATATAATATAAGCCTTCAAATACAGTGGCCTAACTGAATGCAAAAGCAACTTCCCAAATTATAAAAGACAGTTGGAAAAATATGCTGTCCAAAGAAAAAGACATAACCGTATGCAAAATGAATCTAGGAATTAAGGAATTATAATCTCAAGTCTTCCAAATAGATAATAGAGGCCGAAGTGGAAAAAAAGTGCATGGACCTTTCAGATTAAAAGAGACAAAGGATGAAGCTTACTTGGAATAGAAGAAAAGAAAAGTTGTTCAGTATCACTATAGTTATCCACAAGGTATGCAGCTTGACCCAGGTATCCCAACATAAGGCAAGGAAGTACAAGTAACAGAAAGGTAAGCTGCAAACAACAAATATGTATGCTAAGTATATGTAGTCAATCCAAACACCACAGAACAGTAATGGAGAAGAAAACCAGCAGGTTTCCATAATTGTATTCCATGGGTCCAGAGAAACATATAGCAAAGATGATCCAGTGACTTTTCTACATTACTGCATTACCTGAACTGATCTCACTGAAAAGTAGCAAAGATCTGCGAACATTGCCTCAGAACCTGAATTAGAATCATCCATCAGCAGAGCAAAAGGACAAAATGTAAGGCCAAGTTTGGGAAGACTAAATAAGTGCACTTTTTGACTTTTTATGAAATATGGGTTGGATTTGGGTTGGGTTTGAAGTGATGTGTTAGAGAGGTGATGTGACTTAAATAAGATAATGACTTTTTGACTTTTTGGATTTTTTGGAGGATGCCAAACTTGGCCTAAATAACACCATTTACAATTACAATGCTGTGAGTCAAATTTCCAATTAGCTAAATTAAGATGAAGTCACAAGGAGTAGTTATACATGTTAGGGACACAAAGACGAGGCACACTTGATGCATGTTCACAGGTTTATAATCAAGTATAGTCATTTGAAAAAAAAAAAAAAAAGGAGAAGAGAAGAAACATGACAAAGATCAAAAAAGAAAACCTTGAGTTTGATTGGAATTAGAATCTATATAGTGGATAAAAAACAAAATTCTTCTTCCATGTGTGTCAAAACAAAAACTTTGATATCAATCACAATACCATCTTGCCCTCTAGCTCAATGGGAACATTCTGATAAAGACATCTTCATTTTCAATCTGCTTCTCTATTTTCTATCTTTTTTTTTTATTTTTTGTACAAATTGATGAAAACAGTGTCTTGGTGTTGACAGGTAGTCGTCATTGATTAAGAATTTGTTTTTTTTTATAATCTTTGGTTAATCTCTTAATGGGAGTAGTTCATGATAAAGGGTATAAATTTAAGAGCACAAAAGGTATTGTGGAAGTAGTTATGATAGCAGAGAAAATTGAAGAGGACCAAACTATCACGAAATCAAATCAACTTTCATCACCCATCCCTCTCTCTCTCTCTCAAAGCAAGACCCACTAACCACCTCTTCCACAAGGTAACACCCAATAAAGTTTAATTTATTTTAAAAAGAACGTAAATTTCTGTTATGTCCTTTGGTGGAAATATAAATGTAGAGTATCTTTCTTAGAAATTGCACGGTGCTTCCGAGGGAAAAACAAAGGTTGATACCACTTGTAAAGAAGAGGTATCAATACCTCTACAATTATATCCAAAGCGCCAGTCAAGATATGATACTATTTCAGCGTAGTAACTGAATATTTTTTTTCCAAAAACAATAGAGGGAAGCAAGAAAGAGGGAGAATATCATGAATATGCAATCCCAATATTGTAGGGTCTTGTCTCAGAAGGAGGAGACAAGAATTCCAAACACCCCTTAGAAGAAAACAAATAATTGAAGCAAGTAAAACAATACCAGTGAACCTACCAATTATTAACACGATATCAGTGTGTTTGGTTTTAATTTTTTGGATTCAATTTTCTAAAAATTGAGTTTTTTATTTTTTGTATTTTTTTGTTATTAGTGAATATTTTTAAAATTTTAAGCAATTTTTTTTTTTTACTTTTTTAGATGCATCTTACTTAGATGTATCTATAAAGTAAAATATTCGTAAAAAAATATTTTAAAAAACAAATAAATACACAAGAGTATGAAAAATGTCCTGAATTCTCATTTTTTTTTGTATTTTTGTATTTTTGGTATTTAGTGAATTTTCTAAAGATTTTTTTTCACAAATATTATACTTTTTAAGTGTATTTATGTTAGGTGTATCTTAAAATTAAAAAAATTACTTAGAATATTAAAAAAATTCAATGAAAATGAAAAAATACAGAAATAAAAAATTTCAATTTTCTAAAAAGTGAATCCTAAAAATCCAAACCAAACAAGCTGGTTTTTATTTAATTTATTGTAAACAAGAAAAGATGATAGATTTAGAAAAGAAAACATCATATCATTGAAAAGCAAGCTCTGAAAGGGAACAATGAGAAGAAAAATAAAATAAAATAAAATAGTTGGTATTCTTACTTATAAAAAAATAATAATAATAAATAAAAATTAAAAAGAAGAAGAGGTTAGGTATGATCGTTTGGCCATGTATAATAAAAATGACTTCACCAAAAAGAAGTGGTATCATGAAGTTAAAAGGCGCTCCATGGACAGGTGAAAAGGCTCAAACAACAAGAGTTAAGGGCACAGAAAAAAGATAGTAAAGAATATTTTAATGCATTTTTACATAAACCCATATGACTAGAGACTAGAGTTAGGCCTTGTAAAGATGAGTTGAGTTTAAGTTTCTATTCTACTCCTTGAATAATCACATCAAGAATAAGTCAATTTTGGAGGGATGAAAGGGAATAAATCACATATAGAACAATAGCAAATCACATATAGAACAATAGCAAATCCCAAGGTTGCTCCTTTTTTCCATCTATGTATCAAAGATGTATATTTAAGTTCTTTAACATCTGAATTTTTTGAATCTTACCTGTTGCACACAACAGACAGCCTCCAAGGGAATACCAAGCCTTAGTTGAGTTGTTCTTGAAAAAGTAATAGATGTGAACAGGATTAAATGCCCTCAAGACACTGCTGTCATGTTTTATAAGGTTGTAGATTCCAATACCCCCAATAGAACAAAACCAGATGAATAAAGCAGGGCCAACTGCAATCCCAACTTTGCTTGTCCCATACTTCTGTACACTGAACAAAATTACAAGAAATGCTACTGAAATCATCACCACTTCATCTGCAATAAAATTACAATTATGTCAAGAACACTGATTAATATGAGTAAGTTGACATTACAAAGTATCATAGGTACCATAAAAAGATATAGTATTACAGGCAAAAGGTGTATTGGGCTATTAGCATCTCAAACATATATCAGAAAATGGACACAGAAAGCACCCTCTGTTGTAAACCTGCTTCAACCAAAACCAAAGCATGAATGATCCTAAGCTTCTAATTGTGGCTAGTAAATTGCAATTACTCTAAAACTTGCCTGCTCACAAGGCTCAAAGTCTAAAATCACATGTCCAATTAGGTTGAGGTTGGATAATGCATTAGTTCTTTGAAATTGCGCAACGACTCCTTAAACAAATTAATGTTGCATTATTCATGTGGAAACCTAATTGCAAATCTAAACACTTCTTCCTTGTCCTGCGCATCAGAAGCTCGTGATTGTATCAGCTGAAATAATGACTTGAGGGGTAGTCCTAGTATATCATTTAATGCAAATTTAAATCTATTTTCACACAAAAGATACATCACAATTATGGAGGACCAAGTTGCAATGCTTGTCATACACACATGTTAGTCACTAGGAGATTTCCATTCAACAATACAAATTACAAAGCACCCAAATGTTCCAAATGGCTCTTCTAGAAGCAACCCAATCATTATCAATATCTGGTCCTCAAAAGTTCAAAGGTCAAGCTAGAATGTTTAAGACAAGGTTTAAAATCAATTCAGCCATTATTGAGTGGAATATTTCAGTTGCATTCATTGTTCAAGTAATTCATTCTGTTAACATGGTTGAGGTTGGATCTCTCCTTTTCATTTTACTATGTTGTTACCATTGTACTTTTCATATGAGGCCGTTTAATGGAGAGTTTAAAGCTAGTCATCAATATATTAACCTATCAACTTAAAAGTTGACCCCTTGCTGAGTCATGCTAGCAAAAGTAGGGGTTTCAGTGTTCTCTTCATTCTGTAGTTTGGGCAGAATCACTTTTCCAGTTTCTACAAGGGTCGCCCATCCATGAAGCCATTTAGGCCAGAATGGAATTTGACAGATCTACATAACAAGGTCCAAAAACTTCTGAGAGGCTCTAGTTATGGATTCATCCAATTATCGAATTCAATCTCTATCAAGTAAAAGATCAGTTTGGAATAATCCCATGTTGTGAAAATCAGTATCCAGACTACGTTCAAAAACTCAACATTGTACAATGATCACCAAAATTGAAACTATTTACTGTTTTTCACCATAGAGCCAATTTGCAATGGCCTTTCGGATGTCTGCACTGCATAAAGTTTTTCCTCTCCTTGGTGTATCGATCACCACAACTACTTCATGCCTTGTTCTCCGGTATTTCTATAAATCAAGTAAACATTAGGCCAACAATCTTCCACTAAAGTTTGCATAAAAATTGCTAAATTGTGATCTTATCATAAGAATATTTTTAAGATCAAAAGGATTGCTAAAAGTGTGATACCAAACTGGTTGGAGAATCAAAAGGCCTTCCTTAATCGGGGGAAGAATTGAGCAGCCAGTCCCTTCAAAGACTTTGGTATCACACTTTTAGCAGTGAACTTAATTACCACTATGGCCTCGCATGAAAAATTCAGCAAATAACCACCCTTCCCTTATTTCTCACAAGAATGACATTTCACCAGGTTAACCAGGAACGTGAAAATGATCATGAGATTACTGACAAAATCGAGACTTAGAACATGCCAAACATCAAATAAGACTAGTCTCACGTAGACAGCTATATATTAAGCAATTGTACATTAAATAATTAAAGAAAATAAAATTAATGATTATTGTAGGTTGACATATTCAATCAATGAGTTGTGTTACCTTGCTTAATCTCAGATACAACTTTTAAACCACCAACAGCAGACGTCACTGCATCAAGAAAAAACAGGAATAAATAAAAAATCAACAATACCACCTTCAAAATGATGGTGAAAACACAATTTTTTGTATTAAAACAAATGACCTAACATCTTTTTTCTTTATTGTTTTTATCATTTATTGCTAGATCCTCCAAGAGAACACAACAAAACCATATAAAACAGTTCATAAAATGACCTGACATTGCTGGCGTGACAACTCCATCTGCTATCACCATAGAAGTACCAGCAAGCACTAACATCAGGAGCAGCTTTTTCAGTGTCAGAGAAGTTTCAAGTCGTTCCTTAATTTTCAATGACCGCTCAAGTTCTGGTGATGGCACCTTTAGTCTGAAACTTGATATACGTGCATCAGATGGCAGTTGATTTGGGAGAAGACTGGCCTTGGCATGCCTACAAATCAATGAGTACAAAGCAAATGTACCACCTGCAGTAATTAGACAAGAAGAAACTGGTACCATAAAGAGAAATACCTGTACAAGATAATTAAGGACATGAATTTATGCAAACTTTTTTTTTTTTTTTTTTTAAAATGTTTTTTTTTTTTTTTTTTTTTTTGGGTAAATGCAAGTTTTGACTTCCCCCATTCATCATACCTTCACCATCATCGTTGGCCCACAGAACGATAAGGACATACTTGACCAATGGGATCAAAATTAAGGTATACAAAACCAGCGACAGTGCTCCAAGAATGTCTTCATTTCCATTGACAGGAGCCTTGCTAAACATCACATCAAAGGTATAAAGTGGACTTGTTCCAACATCACCAAAAACAACTCCAAGTGTCTGAAAAGCCAGTACAATTCTCCTTCCCACACTGATATCCTGCAATCAGAATTTAAAATTTAGACACACATTCTACTTGTTACTTTAAGCCCTAAATTAGATTTACTCAAATTTTACCTCCAATAATCATTCCTCCTACACAATTTCTCTCATTCAACAAAAATGTACAAAGAGAAACTCCTCAGATAATAAGGAAGGGAGGCAAAAAAGAAGCAATAGTTAAAATGAACATCTAAAAAAGAACTATAGAGTCAAGGCTCGTGACTTTTCTAGGACATCCATGGTGTTCATGTTTTCAGATGAAGCATTCCAGTACCAGGTCAACACGGAGTTTCACTTCCAGTTATCACTGTTTTGTGATATTACTCTCAATAAAGTTAATTATATTATATTTGCATATATATATATGCATACATTTTTACTTCCCCTTTCATCAAGGGTGCCAATCTTCTTGGAGCTCATGGAAACACGTTGGATATTTAACTATCTTGTAATAGGATATAGTGTTGGCTATTTTTGTGCCACTTTTTACCATCCTAGTCTCGGTAGTTAAGCGATTGGAGAAGTTGCAAGGATTCCTTCTCCAATCAATATTCAATTAGTGGTGGAGAATGGGAAATGGGTGAGATGAAGAGCCATAGTAGTGCGGCGATGATAAGCTGGAAGTTTTTAAGTAATGGTGGTGGCCGCCATAACGATAATGGTGGTGCTGACATTGTTGCTGGATGTAATAGCCATATTTTAACAATGGCGGCAACCAAAGCTGTGGATTTTTTTATTTCTTAGCACAAAGTTGGCAAAGCTTACTGATAGACATTTTTTTTTCCCTTTCAAAAATCACATTCAGTTGGGATTCAAACTGGTTTTTGGTGGATTTTCTTTAGTTTTTTAACATGACTCCATCTATATACTACTTTTTACACTAGTCTTGAGTCATTGGAGATTTTTCTTTTTTTCTTTCTTTTTTTGTATTTAATTTTTTTTACTTATGGCACTGCCCCCTTCTTGTGAAGGGAAAAAAAATGAAGACTGTTTAATAATAAAAAATGTTTGTCTCATAAACATAAGTTTATTATACCAAAAGCCAACATACTAATATAGAAGTACATGACATGATATCTAAGTTTTGTGTAACAAATTTTTAATTTCCTTAAAGACTTATATTGTATAAATTGGTAAAATGTTTTTTACTTTAATTGTATTAAGACTCCTATATAAACCCACCACAATTAATAAATATACAATGTTTATAAGCCATAAATCCGAAATGGTACAGCAAAAGGTGGTGGTACACTCAGGATAACTATCGATACAGCTACTACTTCACCTAGGTGATATTTTTTTTTTTTTATGGAAAGTTAGGTTTTGTTTTTAATTACCATCACAACATATATCTAAAAATTGATACTACATTTCCATTCGTTTCATATGTTCTCCAAGCAATCATACAGTAAAAACAAACACATAAAGTGCAATTATCAAAACCCACAATCTTACAACTCTGATCTAAAAACTCTAAATTCATGTAATATAGAGCTAACACATTCTATATAAACCAAATTAGGTCCAGAAAATCACCTCAAAGTCGTTCCGTTGTGCTCCGGGGACCTCAAGTGCTTCGACATCGAAGGAATCAATCCGAGGACCTGTCCGAATGAGTCTCTGCTCGGCATTATCATCGTCGTCTGAATCCATGCCTGTTAGCGGTGGCAAATCTTCGCCGTCCTCGTCGTCCTCGATCTCCGACTCATCCTCGTCCTGAAACACCCATCGAGATTCAACCGAATCCATCGAAGAAAGCCTCCCGTTCTCTCTCTCCGATCCCTCCTCCGCCATGCTCTGTCTCTCTCTAGATTTCAAACCGAGGCTGTGATCGATTAAACCTCGTGTCGAATCTGTGAAAAGTGATGCTCCATTTTTGTCTGTGCAAGTATGAGTGTGGAGATTGGAACCCTAGAAAGTGGTGCAGAGATTGGAGATTGGAGATTGGCGATTGGAGATTGAGAGAGAGGAGAAAGGCTCTGAAGGGTTGATTGGTTGATTCGAAGTGCTGTGAACGTTTTTGTTAGTTAACGGTCTGTTTGGTAAGCTCTGTTTGCTGAACTTGGCCTGAAGAAACAAATTAGGGGATTATGAAATCTTAGGGAATATCTATATATCTATGTGAAATAAAATCATCCTAATTTTTAACGTTTGGGTGTAAGAGAAAGTATGATAAAAATCTTTTTATCGATGGTAAATTATAGAAAAAATTAGTCTAAAGTTCCTCTCTTATTTTTGGTAATGGAAAAGATTCACAATCTTTTTTTATGATGTTTAAGGTCCCTTCTCATATATTACAGAGAAATTTAATCAAACTCATTCCTCTCTCTACCTTCTATATTTCGACCGAGATCTAGAAATGGAAGGAGATGAAGTGAGCTCTTATCAGCTATGGAAGATCAAACGAGTTCTCCGAAAGGGAAAGGTCACTCTCCTTTGTCTCGTCCTCACAGTAGTCGTGATTCGGAGCAATCTCAGCGCCGGAAAGTTCAGAACTCCACAAGAGGACTTCAACAATATCTAAGACTACTTCTACTCTAGCCGGCGCACCGAGCCACACTGCGTTCTTGAAGAAGCCTCTCATCCTCTCTACTCCTCCATCAACCACTCTTCCACCGTCTCTTCCTCCAATCTCAAGATCCAAATCTCAAGACATTCAAGAAGAAGAACAACAACAATCCGATCAAAACAACCCAGTTCAAGAAATCATCAAGAACGATCAAGTGAACTCTGTTTCTATGAATTCAAGAAATCGAATTTCAAGTCGAGGAAGATGATGATGAAGAAGTTGAATTGCCACCAGAGGATTGTGATCTCTTCAAAGGAAATCGGGGTTTTAAATAATGTGACTCATCCAATATACAGAGAAGATGAATGTGAGTTCCTCATAGCTCAAGTCAGTTGCTTGAGAAATGGAAGAAAAGACGCACTCTATCAGAATTGGAAGTGGCAATGCAGATATTGTTCTCTGCCTAAGTACCATTTTTCTTACTTTAATTCTTTTTTTTTTTTTGTGTGTGATATGTTTATGTTGTTATTGATGATTGAGTATGTTTGGTTGAAGGTTTAAAGCAAGATTATTGCTAGAAAAATTGAGAGGAAAGAGACTAATGTTTGTTCGAGACTCGTTGAATCGGAACCAGTGGGAATCCATGGTTTGTTTGGTTCAATCTGTTGTTCCACAAGGGAGGAAAAGTTTGTCCAATAATGGCTCTCTCTCTCTCTCTCAAAAAATTACAGCAATTATGTTTTCTTAAATGTCACAGTAGAAATTAGCTCTGATAATTAGTCTAGAAAAATTTGTAAGAGGTTTAAAGGTTTTTGATGTTAGTTAAGAGATCCAGAAAAATTTGAATGTTAGTCCAGAGAAATTTGTGAAAGTTTCAAAGGTTTTTAATGTTAGTTTAGAGATCCAGAGAAATTTGATTAAAATGAACCCAGAAAAATTTGAATTTTCTCTGGTTTATAAATGAATTTAGAGAAATTCCCAAGCTTTGGTGCTTCATAGTTTTGGGAATAGTGGGCCTTTCTCTGAAGAGAAGAGAAATTTCTCGGGTTTTTATGAATTTTTGTGAATTTCTCTGGGTTGGAAGAGAATTTTCTCTGAGTTTTTGTGAATTTCTCTGGATTGGAAGGAAATTTTCTCTGAGTTTTTGTGAATTTCTCTGGACTGAGAGAATTTCTCTGAATTGAAGTGAGTCCAGAGAAATTCTGGTAAGATTTTCTCTGTGAAGTCGAATTTTCTCTAGATCAATTTGAGGGACTTTAGACATTATTAAAATATGAAATGTCCTTTATGTTATAAAGTCTTAATATCAAGGACCTTAAAAAAAAAAACCCCTAAATTGTACAATTGAATCATTAATTTAGATATTTATTTCTAAAACAATATTTAAAAAAAAGGATGAAATGGCATTATTTGACATAATCTACAAAAGTATATATTTTTTTATCATTTTATCATTCATTTATTTTTTTTATATATTTTTTCGTAAAAAATTAAAAAATATATATTTGTTAAAAGTACATATTTAAGGTTTGTTTGACATATCAATAATTGACTAAAAAAACAAACATTAAAGAATAAGAAAAGTTATACAAAATATCAATGATTCATTCTCATTTTTTTGTGCTTTTTAAAAATTAAAAAAAAAAAAATTTCTAAACACTTTGTATACTTTCACCTCGTATTTTAATCAATAAAAACAACCATTAAAAAATTATTTCTCAAATGAACTCTTGATGGATTTAAAATCATATTTTACATAACAAACAATCTATCATACCAAAATTACCCTCATATCTTTTATTACTCAATTCCTATCCCTTGCTAGCCCTTTTTGTTGCTAGTGTTGGCTACACAACCACCTCTTCCCTACCAAGTTGCCACTTCCCTAACCCTTTTCAATTTTGGTCGTCTCTCCTAAATGCCATTTACAACTCATGAATTCCCTATTCCCAACCTACATGTGCCAACTCTATCCATTTCCAGCCGTGACTACCACTCCTAACTCCTTTCTAGCCTTACTTCTACTCGCTATTGACTTCCACTTATTTCCTTCAAGTTCTCTCTCTATTTCTCACTTTTACATGCTCACACGAGCAGCACAATTGTAACAGTAAAGGCTGTGTGGTAAAGAGGTTTGTTGAAGAGGGCTAGGGGGTTATCAAACATGAGATGGATTTGGTGTGTGACAACAATAAGAAATAATGAGAAAGGAAAATGTTTGGTAGGTCAAAATTTTGTGTCTCAAATGGCTCAAATATGTCAAAACGACGTAAAACGACGTCGTTTTACACTCAAAACGGCGTAAAACGACGTCGTTTTGAGTGATTTGAGCCATTTGAGCCACAAAATTTTGTGCTACCTAACATTATTGAATGAGAAATGATTGGAATAATTGAGAAAGAAAGTCAATGGGTCCTCGAAAGTTGAGACATATTTAGTAATTGGTGTGTGATAACGACAAAAGTTGATGAATAATGGTTGGAGTGGTCAAAATGATAAAACCATTGCCGCCGACAAATAGTGGTTAGTTAAGATTAAATTTTTTTTTTTAAATGGTTTGAAAATTAGGTTTTTGGTAAGAAAGACAAAAGTACTTTTATATTTTTATATTAAGATTTAAATATAATAATGAAAAAGTCATTAAATATGTGCACGAAATGAAATTAATATATAAAAACACAAACTTTTTAAATTTATCCAACAAATTTCATTTGAGCACTTTAAATAATAATAATCTTACGTACCTTTAATCTTATCACAACCTACCATCTCTTTTATTACTGGTAGTTATAATCGCCATGGCCAATCACTATCCAGTTACTCCTCTCCATTCTCTGCTACCACCTACCCATTCCATTCCATTATTCCCCATCCTTAATTAGGTCTATGTAAAATATCGTCCAATTCATTAATATTGTATTGATCCGTATTAATCCGCACAAATTTATAATTCGCTTTCTAAATCATTCCATTCCACTATAATCAATACATATGTATTTTTCAATATATAATGAAATATCAAAATAAAAATGTGTAAAATTGATTTAATATATGAAATTTATTACAAATTAGTAGTCATATATATGAAAAATTAGTTTATATTATATATATGAAAGATATTATGCAAATACATGATAATTGGTTAAAATATTATTTAATCCGTCAATCCATCAAAAATCGCTAAAATCATAATTTGCCAATCCACCAATCCGTTAATCGATTTATAATTTTACTTTCAAATCGCCTGAATCGCACTACGCATCCCTTACCCCCAACATACACAGATCTTCCAAACAAACCAAATTTAAATCAAGTTGTTTGGTTTGGATTTTCAGAATTCACTTTTCAAAAAATTAAAATTTTTTATTTTTCGTATTTTTTTATTTTTACTGAATTTTTTTTAATATTCTAACCAATTTTTAAAATTTTTAGATACACCTAATGTACGGGGAGCAAATATTCCGGCAAGCCCGTACTCCTTTCTTCCGAGCTCCGTCTCTGTCCGATCACCTGCGAGCCAATAAGGGTGAGCTACCCGGCGGTGTGTGGCCGGAAAAACCCTCCGACGATCAAGTTAGCACACACCTTAGGATAGAGAAAGAGAGAGGAGTGTTTGAGTGTAAGAATTTCTTTACCCAAAAATGTTCGTATGTCCGCGTACGGGGGGCGTTCACATGCATATACCCTCTGCGCCCCATATCTACTCCCAGTCATCCCCTGACACGTGGCTCCCCTATCCCATCTGTCAGCATAAACCTTGCTGACCATCACCTAATTTCAACTGCCTGCCTTCACAGCTGGAGCTCGGTGGCCGAGCTGCTCTATTCACTGTCGTGCCGTGCTTTATACCCAAGCACTTCACTGGCTAAGCCCAAGGAGGACCGGGCTAGGCGGCATCTCGGCAAAGCCGAGCCCGGGGCACCTCTTGTGGTCGGCCTTCCTGCTAATCAAACGGTTACCTTGGTTGACCACGCCTTTCCGGGCGCCGGTCACTCAGCTTGTCTGGCTTCAGCCATCCCCTGATTAAGCAGCTCGGTCCAACCGAGCACTGCCTGCCGAGCAGCATCTTTACGGTATGGGGCGGCACACACTTGGCCCATTTTCTGCCCGGCCCAAGTTCTGGCAGCCCACCTCCGGGCGGATAGTCGATCATCTCGGCCCCATGCACCGTCGGGCTCTCAACCTGCTCGGCCGTTACCTCGGCCCAATTCCAGATCATAAATCACCCTCTCACCTAACATAAATACACTTAAAAAGTATAATATTTGTGAAAAAAATATTTAAAAAATTCACTAAATACAAGAAAAATATTAAAAAAAATATGAGAATTCAGTATATTTTTTATATTATTGTGTATTTATTGATTTTTTAAAAAATATTTATTGTATAAATATTTTATATATATCTCAGTATGGTACATTTGAGGAAGTAAAAAAAATTGTTTAAAATTTTAAAAATATTCACTAAAAAAAATTTAAAAATAAAAAATAATAATTTTCAAGAAATTGAATCCAACCAATCCGACCCGTTTACTGACAAAGTGGGCATAATAAAGCAACATGGGTTTGAATCC